CAGACCCAGGCATGTGCCCTGACAGGGAATTGAACAGCGATCTCCTGGATCCTAGGTTGATGCTCAACCACTGAGCCACGCCTGGCTGGACTAGATCAGTAATTTTATTAGGGGTTTGCAAAATGGTGATATTCTTATCTATTATCATCATTTCTCAGCTGGAATACTCTATAAACAGAAGCGTCCTCTCTTTGACTACTAGACTGCTGAGTTTTATGTACAGCTTGTATGAGAAAGACAGGCAAATACCTGATCATTCTTCTTTGTTAGTTTTTAGGATAAGTTGATTCCCAAGCAATCTCCAAAGGTGACCAGTGAGGTCTTCTTTTTTTTTATAACGTATCATTATGAACTCATGGATTTTTAACATATTTGATGTGTTTCAATCCATTGCAGTTATTATTGGGGTTCAATCTGTTCCATCTTTGGTAGTGGGATCCTCTTCAAGGAAGTTCCTGAGTGTTTTTTACAGTACTCTAGTGGTTTCTAATAGCTTCCTTGCTTTCTGGTATGATCCAAGTCTATTTCATAAAATTCTGCCTCAAATCTTTGTTAATAAACAAACTTTAAGTAAATTTAATAACCTAGTTGGTTTTATTAAATGATTCATGACTAGGACAGCATCTTATCTAGCAAGCAGAGAGATATTCCCAGGGGTTATACAAGATGGAAGCCTTTTATAGTAAGGAAGGCAGGGCAAGGAAGTTATCAGCAAGGAATAATGAAAGTTCATTGGAGGAAAGTAAGAGTTTATAGGTGATTATGGCTTCTCATTGGTTCAGCAGCAGTGTTTCCATTGGCTGGCTAATTGCTAGGCAAGAAGAAAACCTTTCTCCTGCTGGAATAGTAAAGTAGATGTACTTCCTGTGCAAGTACCCTTTTCCAGTTGGTTGGGGCCTGTAACTGAATTAATTGACGCTGTAACTGAGTCCTCCTGTTTGGAGTAATTGGCAATGAGTAATAACAGCTTGAGAGTTCCCTCTAACAGGTCTTCCCAGCTCCAATTTTAATTGAAGTTTCCTTTATTAATTTTCACACCTTGAATCATTGTTTATCTAGGGGGCACTGATTTCTTTTAGTTGGAAATGATATTTAGAGATATTTAGTATCTGCGTGCTAAGCCTCTTGATACTAGGTTGATCACTTTTAGGCCTTTTCATGGACAGAACTAGGAAATACTTTTTTTTTTTTTTTTAAAGAAGTACATTATAAGCTTATACTGATACTTCCTATTCAAATAATATTGCAGAGTTTTTATTTAAATTTTATTTTTGTTTTTTATACTGAAGCTTTATTATAGACATACACTATAATTTCAGAATAATTGCAGTATCATTACCAACAATATGATTACTGAAAGCAATTTAAGATTTTTTTTATACTTCCGTTTGTGCTTAAGGATATCTTTCAACAATGATGTATAGTCAAATACTGTGTTTTAAAGTTACTTAAATACTTCTTTCTGGTTAAACTCAATACACAGGTTCATATGTTCCATTTTGAGGAATGACTTAAATTTTTTTTTGGTTTGACGTATTTTATAGTTATGTTTTAAAATTTTATATATAGAGCCCTAGCCGGGTTTGGCTTAGTAGTTAGAGCATCGGCCTGTTGACTGAAGGGTCCTGGGTTCAATTCCAGCCCAGGGCATGTACCTCGGTTGCAGGCTCAGTCCCTGGCCCTGGTCAGGATGTGTGTGAGAGGCAACCAGTCGATGTGTGTGTCTCTCTCTCTTCCCCCTTCCACTCTCTCTGAAAAGCAGTGGAAAAAATATCCTCAGTGAGGATTAAAAAACCCCCACAAAAACAAACCAAAACAAAAAAACTTTATATATAGAACACGGTACATTCAGAGAAGTCCAGTTTCTGGCCCTCTCACCTCCACCATGTTACTGTTTCACCTTAAAGGTAGTCATTTAAAAAATGTTTTTTGTTTATACTTCTACTAAAAAATTGTAAATATAACATTTATATAAAATGTTTTTATAATATTTGTCTATATCTATATATTCTTTCACCTTTCTTTGATATAGTGTCATAATGTTTGTTTTCACTACGTTTTTTGTTGTTAATCCTCACCTGAGGATATTTTTTCCATTGCTTTTTCAGAGAGAGAGGAGTGGAAGTGATGGCAGGAGCTGGAGAGAGAGATAGAGAAACATTGTTGTGAGAGAGACACATCGATTGGTTGCCTCCCGCATGTGTCCGACAAGGGCCGGGATCAAACCTGCAACTCAGGTTCGATTCTTGACCTGAAATCGAACCTGTGACTGTTTGGTGCACAGGCCGATGCTCTAACCATTGAGACACACCAACCAGGGCACACTACCTTCTTTCACTTACCAATATATCCTAGATACTCCATAGTAATACTTACAGATATTACTCAAAAAATATTTTGTAATTGTGGCAAAATATGCATGACATAAAATTTACCATTTCAACCTTTTTTAAGTGTATAGTTCAGTGGCATTAAGTGCATTCACTGTTAATGTATTCATCACCAATAAATATCCTTCTCCGGTACTTTTTCATTTTCCAAAACTGAAACTCTGTACCCATTAAACAATAACCCTCCATTCTTCTGTCCTCCAAGTACCTGGCTACCACCATTCTTTCTTTCTGAATTTGACTGTTCTAG